TCCTCCATCTCACCGTCGATCTCTCTCTCTATCTCTCTGCTCCGTCTACCCTGCACCAATGGCAACTCCATAGCCCTTCTCATTTCACGCTCCTTGTCTCTTTATAATTCGTGCCCAAATCATCAACGCCTCGTCACCCTTGTCTTCTCAGGAATAATAGTGACCCCTTTTCCTTATAGATTCACGACATCTATCCCAGCATTCTCATCTCTGCCATTTCATGCCACTCTATCTCGATATATATATTTTCCCAATACCATCTTTTGTAGCGACACTTGACCAGTTCCTGACTTGCACAGAAAACCTGCGATAATGCATGGAGCCGGATTGAGAAAGTGGATTCATAAAAGTACAATTATGAAGGTGCAGCCCTGCAATTGCCTACTCGTGCCACAGCTGGAGGAAGGGCTTCAACTACAGGGAGCACTCCACAAGGGAGCCTATGTGGAGGGCAAGTTGGTCTACTCTCCCACACTGGCCAGACGTCTTGGAACAAGTGAGAATGCCCACATTTTACCCCACCACCTGCCGATCGAACTTAACTGTGGTGAGTGGGTGGGTGGGCAGAGGTGGGTGGTGGAGGCAGAGGTCGCAAACGGGTTTTGATTCCTTACCCGTACCCATACCCGGCCGCACCAGGGTCGCAAATGGGTACCCGTTCTCTACCCGTACCCTACCCTACCCGAATTGAGTGACAAACGGTTACTCACCAGTGACTCACGGCCTACCCGTACCCGGCCGCACCAGGGTCGCAAACGGCTACCCATACCCGTACCCGGCCGGGTACGGGTAGCCGGGTATCGGGTAGGGTACGGGTATCGGGTACCCGGTTGCGACCTCTGGGTGGAGGGGAATTTTAAAAAATTGCCCCATTTTTTTTTCAGCCGCTGCGCCGAGAGATTAAAATCGAACCAGCCACCTCTGGATTGCAAGTCCTTTGCGTTTACCATTCCACCACTGATGTAGCATGTGCTTGTTTTTTTAACATGTGAAATCAAACTCACGAAAACCGGTGAAAAATTCCAGTGGGAGTCATTGTAATTGATTAGAAAAAGCAAAAAAAACCCAAAAAACAAATCTTTAATTCAAAGTCTACAATAACAGCAACAATAATCACAGAGCTCACAAACGAGTCGTAATTGAACAAGAAATTATGACCTTAAAGGAAAATGCAAGTACAACAACAACAAACAACCAGCGGTTATTTTGAGATCGACACAGCAATGCAGTCCCACGCCAGTTTTCATGATTGTAAAAAATTATACAGGGATACTCTTTCAAATCTTGCTGCAAAACATTACCACGTGATAAGCTACTTTGCCGAGCGATCATTCGTGGCCAAGGTCGCTTCTGAAAAAGAAGTCAAGTTGAGTGGGTTTTACCTGGTAAGATAAACATTGTTAAGTTTCAATCTTGATTAGAAACGTTCGTGACGGCAGGAATCCATACTCTTTGGTTCTTTCGGTAAAGTCACGTGGGTATAAAAAAATAAAAATAGATCACGACGTTTCGACCATCAGCTGACCGTCAGCAGTCCTCCTGCCGTGTGTTTGTTTCACACCTGGTGACGGTTGCTTGTGTTGCGATCGAAACGTCGTGATCTATTATTTTTTATACCTATATGACTTTACCGAAAGCACCACAGAGTATTGTTTAGTTTTATTTGAATATTTATTAAAGTGATTTGTTTATCTTTCTTGTACTGTGCACTCCTATCCTATTTTTTTTATTGTTTGTTGTTGAAACTGTTTGACCTGCCCCTACTGAACATCTATAAAACAGAGCTTTAAAGCTCCTTGGATTCCTCCAGTATAACTAAATATTCTGACTCTGATCACATTCAATGTTGGTAGGAGGGTGGCACGCGCGTGGAACGCTATTTATTGTGCGTGTGTACATGCACTCTCTACACATCGGAACCAGATTGAATCACGGGTGGCTGAAACACGGACTCGAACCCAGGTTCTCAGCGATACTGGCTGGTCCGTCTCTGACCTCTGTGCCACTGGGCCACCACAAAAGTCCAGTTTGATATTTACAGGAACATACCTACGCATTTCCCATAAATATGCTAAATTCCTGTGATATGCAAATTATTTTGTCAAGGCGCTCTTCTTCCACCTCCAACCCAGCTTATATATACGCTCCAAGCTTGGCAGTGTTTCATTCTTCACCTGAAGACGGCTGCTTGCATTGTAGCCGAAACGTCGTGAGAATTATTTTATTATGTTTTATTTTTATTATTTTATTACTTCCCTTCTACGTGACTTTACCGAAAGAACCAAGAAGATTAATCCCTGCAGTCACGAAAGCTTTAAATCGAAATTTATAAATACTTGAACTGCTGTCAGATTACCGTGGATCGATGTTATTTCGGTAATTACATTTAAACTATTTAGGGAAAATTATGCATAAGCATGGATCATGTAGCACTTTTCACACGCGTTCCTGCCTTTGGAGGTATTTATAACAATCAAATATCAAAATACCTCCAAACGCACCGAGCGTCCTTTGGTACTGGATGGAGTCTGCAATTTTTTGGCAAGCCCTTTTATCAATGAGGTAAGTTTGTAATAGGCAAGGCCTTTTATCATAAGGCCATTTTGTAATAGGGCAAAGTCCTTTTATCCAATAAGGCCAGTTTGTAATAGGGCAAGCCCTTTTATCAATAAGTACAGTTGGTATTAGGGCAAGCCCTTTTTATCAATAAGGCCAGTTGGTAATAGGGCAAGTCCCTATCAGCAACACAATTTTTGTACGAGAGTTTGGTAACATCATCGTTACAAGACGGGATGACTGCGTAAATGCTTTGAAAGGAAGTCGTTGTTGTTGTTGCTGTTGCATTTTCGTTTTAACGCCGATGTCGTTGCACGAAGCGGCCTTCAATTAAATAAATGCGCAGCTCCGTAGCTTCAAGTTAAAACAACATTGAAAAAAAATCAACGTGTAAAAATATTATTGTACAAAAAATTATTATGAGCACCAAGAAATTGAATTTATCAAAAAACACACGTCCCTATACTGCTTGATGCACATGAAATTCACTTCCCACTTGCTATACGGCACAACGTCGACTTTGCTCGGGGACTTGAGGTATAGAAAGATAGTGAACATCAAAGAGAGAATGAAGGTTGTTCCCCTCCACGTCTTTAAACACGGGGAGACGCTCGACTGTGCTTTAGGAGTGACTGAACAAGCGCGAGATTGATTTGTGAACGTCTTACCTTACCAAAATCTCAGCAAGATATAAAGTCAACTGGAATATATTTACGCGGCAACAAAAGCCAAGGTGTATATGAACCTATACGTTGGGCGCCGAATGTTGGAGCATGAGACAATCCGATGAACGAAAAATTAGCGACTGCTCACTGAGAATACAGAGGAGAGGTTTCTAGACTTCAGGAGCAATGAGGTGCGGCGCAATGAGAGAACGACTGGGGCATGGGGTGACACTGATCCAAGAGAGAGACGAATCCGGTGGTTTGGAATGGATCTGGAAAGAATACCGCAACTTGGCGTTACACTACAAAGACAAAGACCCCCCCCCCCCCCACGTAGCCTTAACGGACTGTTGGGGCAAGTGCTGTTAGCGAGTATCTATGAAGGCCGGAACGGTACACGAGGGGGTGGGGTGGCCAGCACCACGCCCGACCGCCTTTGTCTTCTGAGTTGCGATGTTTACACCCCGCACCAGGTACTCATTTCAGGCTGAATCGACCTAGAAAAGGCCCAGGACTGGTTCAAATAATCGTCACTGGTGTTGGCCGTGAACGGGAATCGAACTCGGGTCACCGGGTTCGTAGCGCAGCGTGCTAACCGCTACATATCACTCACACTAGCACGCGCACACGTATACGCATGGAGCTAAAACTGAACAATTTTTTATTTACCGGGTAAGGCCCACTGATATATATAGCTCTGTTTCAGAAGCATCTGGCCAAAAATGAAAGCTAAATGAAGTGGATTACGATGCGTAAATGTACAGCAGCATATACTCCAAAAAGGTACGTCTCGAAACGTGAAGGGAAGCCCTGGAGTAAAAAATCCACGCGACCACGGCGAGGAGAAACATGAAAACTGCAAAATTACAGCAGCAGGCGTCAGGGTCGGGGTCGAACACACGACCTCCTGCATACCCGGCGACGGAGGTTAACATCTCCTAGCCACCGCGGCGCCCGATATGTAAAGCAACGGAGGGAGAGCAACGGTGCGCTGAATTGACGGAAATTAAATAAGAATTCAGAACAAAATAAAAGTGCGACACAAGGGTGGAGGAGGCCGTGAAGCTGGCGTGAGACAGGGAGGGGGGAGGGGTGGAGAGATCTCATTCGGTTCATCGTCTGAACACGAAGAGAGGACGGGAACTAGACACGAACAAGATCGAAACATGTCAGTGACACCACGCTGATATAAAAATGAAATCCTCCACTCGGCGTGGGCGGTTAATTGGACAGGATGGATAAGAGGATCAGATACGCGACGTTGCTCCGTTAACCGTGTCGCCAACACGAGCGTCGACCATCATCACTGCCACGGCGACATCTTGTGGACGACCTATCTAGGGGGTGATAAAATAGATACCGCTTTGTGGGATGTGAACAAGTGACCGTCCTATGGAGAGACTGGACCCCTGCCATGGAAACGTGGAATTTCCACCGCTGGTCAGGGAATGGCAGTGGAGATGATCTGGGATGTTATGGGGACATAATGGCGGGGTCACTACACGCATTTGGCATTTCTGCCCTAACCGTATTATCTCTGCAAGGCGAGGCAAGACCGGCTTAGTATTAGGGTTATGCTGTGGACAGACCGGCCCTTGCCATAGGAATGTGGAATTTCCACTACTGGCGAAGGACCATCAAGAGAGAAATGAGCAGGAAGATACAAGACAAAAAAACATCCCCATACAGCCTTAACAGACTATAGGGCAAGTGCTGTTGGCGAACGCCTTTGAAGGCCGTGGACAAAGCATTTACAGGAACTCCTCTACTTACGAACGAGTTAGGTTACAGAGTTCTGTTCGTAAGTCGATTTGTTCGAAAGTCCCAACTTTACCCCTGTTTATTCCAAACGTGTTGCTACGGCGTGTACTCTAAAAGTTGCATAATGTCCCGTAGATGTTGATGCCACTGGCTCTTCATGTTCTGTAGATACAGATGCAATCACCCGCCATCTATTGCGCGGCGGTTGAACTTACGACTTTCAGTCCGAACAGGCAATTGGACAAGTTTCAAATCAAGATCAAATCAAGATTGGAAAAGTTTGTCCGTGTCTCTGAAAGTTCGTAAGTAGCGGAGTCACTGCACACACTTCATCCAGCTGGCACTTGTTGGTGGCAATACGGAAGGGGTTGACAGAAGACAGACACTATTATCAACCTTCTGCTTGGTCTGCTTGTTCCTACCCTTAACTGAAAACCTAGTGCCCCCCCCCGCCCACCCATCAAATATTTATTCAATCGGGTTTCTGCCTCTCGACTAAGAGCAGCATTGCCCCCTTACTCTGTGGCCTCTTCCCCCGTTTAGAGGCAGCGCTTCGAGCCAAGTGGGAGAGTTTTACAGCCATGGGCCAAGTTTGTCACCGAATCGTTTTCCGAGTCGCTGGTCGCGTGCAGTAGGGTGGCACGTGACTCGTAGTAGTAGCCAGAGCCATAGTGAAAGGGACACTGGATGTGGTGTACATCCCCCCCCCACCACCCTCTGCTAAGACATACAGCTGTCAATTTCACCTTCCTACCACTCCCCAACCCCCCCCCCCCCCTTCACACCACCCCTGCCCCATAGCTAAGGTCCAAAAAAACCGGGATGTTTCATGGGAATGAGAAGAATATCTCACAATACCGCGAGAGGGGAGAACCACATGTAAATGCATTGCCTTGCGCTGTGTACCACTATTATTAATATTCGTACTGTAACTACGGAACTGAGACTTTTGATATCCCGGGAAGGTTTACATATTTGCCAAGGACAGCAGCTACCTCCACAAATGAAGATAATCCTGGGAAACCAGGACAGGTGGCAACCCTAACCCGTAGCGCAAGCTCCAGTACCGGGCCTGCCGTGGCCTTTCCAGTTTTTTTTTTGGTGTTTGGTCGCGACGCGCGGTTCAGGCCACCGAGGTCGCTTGTCCGGGCGTGCGTGGAGCCACTCTCCTCCTCCTGAGCTCCAGGAGACGACCAGCGTTGACTCCACCTTCTGCCTCGCCGGCCGGGAGTGGCTCTGGATGTCCCGGTGGCGGTGGGGGGGGGGCAAGAAGGAAGATTGGCAAGGTCAAAAGGTCATTTGCAGGCAATGCCATAGATGCCACCGTACCCACCTTCCTTCTGCTCGATGAAGGTTTTCCCAACAATCCAGTGTGGTCATCGCTCACGGGTATTCTCTCCTGCATGCACGACCGCCGCCGTTCAGATACGAATTAAATCGGCGCACACCGCGCGCGCCCGATGGTTACTAAACGTGCCCCACGTGCACGTAAGAGGGTAGCCCCGATTCAGCTTGAGAGATGTCGTGCGTGCACGTGTGTACAGCGCTCGCGTGTCCCACGTGACCCAGAGAGTTGGACATCTGTGAAAACGATCTTCGCAGCTCCTCGGATTCCTCCAGTACGAATGCATATTTATATTCATCTTCTTGGTTCTTTCGGTAAAGTCACGTAGAATGGAAATAATAAAATAATAAAATAAAACATAATAAGATAATTCTCACGACGTTTCGGCCACAACGCAAGCAGCCGTCGTGAGAATGATCTTATTATGTTTTCTTTTATTATTTTATTATTTCAATTCTACGTGACTTTACCCAAAAAACCAAGAAGATGAATCCCTGCAGTCACGAAAGCTTTAAATCGAAATTCATATTCCGAGTCTTAGTTCCTCGTGAGAATCGTGGGACGCGTTTGGCGACCGCCAGCGTGCACGATTGTGAGGACTGGCGCTCGGGGAACCTTGTGTCAGGGCCCGTCGTCATCGCTGGCACTTCATGTATTTTACCCCCCCCCCCCCCCCCGCTGAGATGCACGAAGGCCTCCCCCGTGATCTGTCACCGCCAATCTCGCACGCCGCGGCCACCGTCTCGTGGAACTCGCAGCCTGCGACGCTCGCCCGCTGCCACCAGGAGGCGCTCTCGCCTCGCGATGCATCGGCGATCAAATTCTATTATTTCGCATTGATTTCGCGCCCTCTTCCAGGTGCGCTTTAAGATGCAATCCGACGGTGTTCAGTGAGGAAGGCGATGGAATGGGTGGGGCTGTGAATGGAGCTGATGTTGCAGGGGTATGCGAGGCGGAATAAAGTGGAGTGTGATGGTGAGTGAGGGTGTCTGATGGGTGCAGCGTGAATGAGAGGCAGTCGGGTATAGGGGTCATTCGTGAAGTTGAGAAATGGGCATGGATGAGGATCGTTAGAGGGTGATCTTACCTGAACTCACAGGTGATCTCGCCTGAATTCACAAGGTGATCTCGCCTGAACTCACTGATCTCACCTGAACTCACTGATCTCGCCTGAACTCACTAGTGATCTCGCCTGAACTCACTGATCTCACCTGAACTCACTGATCTCGCCTGAACTCACTAGTGATCTCGCCTGAACTCACTGATCTCGCCTGAACTCACTGGTGATCTCGCCTGAACTCACAGGTGATCTCGCCTGAACTCACAGGTAGCCTCACCTGAACTTAATGGTGATCTCGCCTGAACTCACAGGTAGCCTCACCTGAACTCACAAGGTGATCTCGCCTGAACTCAGTGGTGATCTCGCCTGAACTCACAGGTGATTTCACCCGAAAGGCACAAGCTAATCTCACCTGGCCACACCATCTCCTCCAGTAGAGTTACGCGACGCAGCAGCAGCTGAAACTCGGCCTGTAGCTCCTGGAAGGCCTGCCAGCCGTCGGACTGTTGAGGGGGGGGGGGGGGGTCACAGTGTTACATTTTTTAGTCAGCATTCTTATTTCACGTCAATCTCAGTCGCACATCCGATGAGCACGGTTGGCTACGTACGGCGCGAAAGAAGTTAAATGTGCAGTACGACGACAACCTGGGTGCAATTCTAGCCAAGTCAGTGGATTTCATTGACTCACTGATCTTTCTCTGACGCAATTCTGGGTTCCGATTTTTTTTTTCAAGAATCGTTTTTTTAAAACGACAAAAAAACACCCAAAACACATTGCGGCGAATGTAGTTGCTGCAGGAGCCGTCACATGAGCCCAATAAACAGACAACATTAAAACCACATATGTTGACAAAATGCACCATTATAGCCAACTGGAAAGAGTCACGCTCCCCCAACACTGCAGGAATAGGCCAATACATTGTCAAAGATTGCTGCTGTAGAGAGCGTCTTGAGTGCACAACTAAGGGGCAGGGAGGAAGCTCACCACCAAACACGAAACCCCTTCACTACCTCTCCTCCAGTGGGCATGGATTCTTAAGAGCATTCACGAGGGCATTTAGGCACTACCAGCCCCCCTTACCTTCTTCTCCTACAGGGATATCAGACCTTAGGAAGGCACCGGGGGGTTGTAGGGTTTATTTAAACATGCCGATTTTGGCAGGTTTCCATTGCACCGTAATCCGTGGGTTGTGCTGGTGTCACAACCGCCTTTCATATCACGTGTTTATCGTTTTGTTAATAATAAAATACTTTGGGACAAAAAAACCCGACATGTATAATAGGAACTAATACATTCTTGCAAACTCAGGTCACTCTTGCAAATGAGACTATGCTGGCCTCTTAAATTCTCAACCTGGTTAAACAGGTAAAATTGACATGATAAATTACAACCCTTTGCCAATCCACCAGCCGTGCCGGTCATGGTGGGGTGAGGGGGTTGATTGACTAAATGTCACCATGCCGGTCAGTGCAAGTGTTGAAAAATGGGGTGTCAACGAACGTTTCGAATATCGCTCGGCACCCATGTTCCAACATCACAGACATTTGTAGCATTAGAAAGAACCGATTTAGCCAAACATCCCAGGCAGGACTTTGCTAAGCACCAGTCTCGAGACCTCGGCAAGGCTTGCCTGGACAAACGAAGGATTTAAAAATGATACAAACAATACAGGTTCCACTCACGGACTCCCCCTTGCTCCCTTTCGCTCCAGTGTCACCCTGCACAACGAGAGAAACACAACGCCGATTGTAAATCTGACAACGCAACACCGACAATAACGCCATGAGCGGTAGTCACAGGCTTTGTTATTGGCCGGTACTCATCGACATTTAAGGCTTCTTAACAGAGCAAAGCTCTCTCTCTCTCTCTAGCTCACTCGCAACCCCATTCACCGCCAGCGTTGCGTTGTTCACACGCGGCCCACACCGGAGCATTTTGACTGCTTGTGTTGTGGTTATTGCAAACATGATGCCTTGAATAAAGGTGTCAGTTTTTTGTACCAGTTTAAAGGGTAAAAACCTACTACTATATTTTGCCACTGGTAAAGGAGGTCTCATAGTGTAATTGTAGTGCGTATTTAATGTGGCGCTGCACTCTGATATTGTAGGAGAAAACATTTATTAAAAAGTATATTTAATTAAGTAGAACGTGTTGTCTATGTTTATTTAAAGTTGCACATTTTGATGCGACGTCACATTTCTCAACCCCCCCCCCCCCTTGTCACACATCGTCACAAATGTCTGACCCCGCCCTCCCCTAGGTGCGTGACGTCATTTATGGACGTCCCCTAAGAGACAGACTGAAGCCGAGAGAATGGAGGTTATTCTTTCCTCTGTACCTGGGGACCACGCGATCCCCGCTCTCCGCGCTCCCCCTGGTGGCCGAAAGAGACATAGCACGTTTACAAATCTGCCGGGCAGCTTCACCGAACACGTGGTGTGGGATGTGAGGCTATACTATATCAGCATTACAATACTCACAGCCAGCATTGTAAATCTTAAAATACTTTGATCATTTATGCCAATGATAGTTATACCAACGGTCATTCATAATTGGTGAAAATTATGCGTCATAACAATGACACAAATCGATATTAATCGGTGTCAGAAACTTGCACGCGAACGACGATAAATGGGACGACGGGTTGAAAAGTGCGCAAAGATGCAAGGGGAGAAGCGGCATGCTTGGCGTTCCACTGAGAAGACTGACGGAGACAACACACGGGGTCAGGAACAAACATCAGGTCAGAAATATATTGCTCGGCAAAGTAAGGGGGGGGGGGGGGGGGGGAGTCATGCTCTGAACAAGTCTGTGCAGGATTTTGCTGCCGTGTTTAAGGGCCATGGTGGTGAAAAAACAAGAAGAGGCTTTATCCCTTTCTGGCAATACAACAGGAGGGGCAAAGATTTTCAAACACCAAATACAGACACATCGCAAGGCATTTAGTCTGCATTAAGCACGCATACTTGTGACAATACATGGCGACAAACATGCTCTGGTATAATGTAGCATTGGCTTTGAAACTGAGAGGTCTACACCGGCGTCAGATCAGAGAGGACGCCAAAAGGCGAACAGCAAAAAACACAATGCAAGTATCGAAGTGTTAATAGCTCGGCTTGAGCAATGATGTCTATGGGACATTTTTGCCAGTATCACAACTCATGAATAAATAAGAAGTGTTTATCCTTTCTGGCAATACAACGGGAGGTATTCTTGGTTCTTTCAGTAAAGTCACGTAGAAGGGAAATAATAAAAATATAACAAGAAAATATTTTATTATTATTTTATTATTTCCCTTCTACGTGACTTTACAGAAAGAACCAAGAATATAAATAATAATACATTATTGTTTATTTTTTTATTTCCCTTCTACGTGACTTTACCGTAAGAACCAAGAATATGAATCCCTGCAGTCACAAAAGCTTTAAATCGAAATTTTACCACGGGAGGTGTTGAAACGTTCAACCACCAACTAGATAGCTATTGCAAGGCATCCTTTTTGGCGTTCTCTGTTCTGACACGGGTGAGACAAGGGCTTAAAGACGGCTGTCTCTGGTGTAGGCCAATCAGTCTCGAAGACAACGCGTTTATCTTTCAGAGCATGTTTGATTCATTTCTTTTTTTTTGCGCCACAAGTGCGTGTGGTCGATGCAGACTTGATGCCTCGTAACAGGGATATCAATTTGGCGTTCGAACATTTTAAAACCTGTTTTATTGCAAGAAAGGTTCAAGCCTCTTCATCGATTCTTCACCACTGTGATACGGCACTGGCAAAAGCGTCCCCGTAGATAAAAGGGCCATTGCCCGAAATGTTCCCGAGCATAGTAAATATTTTTTTATCATCTTTGGGGGAAATCGGTGTCACGGACGATTGTGTTAGGGTGACCGTGTGTCACGGCTACTACAACGACTACTACACACCAGCTCGCCTTTCTCTCCCCTAGGTCCCAGAAGCCCAGGTCTCCCCTCCGGCCCTGGGAGACCCTGACAGAGGCGAAAGAACCAGCACGCGCGGTCGTTATTCTCGCGGGCGCGATAAACGCTCGGTCACCAGGGAGAGCCCTTGCTGAGAATCACGACTCTCTTTCTGGAGGGTCCTGCCGAACCTTCACAGCAGGCGGCGATGCTGCTGCTGCTGCTACTATGGGCGTAGACATCTGCGTATATGAGATTTGATCCTTGTGCATAATTAACGTACAGCGTTGTGGGATGCCGCTGGCATGAATGAGGCTATATAAAATGATGAAACAGTCATAACGCGAATTGGATTTCACGCGAAGAATATATCAGAGAACAATTCTAGATTTGAAGCTTTCGTGACTGCAAGGATTCGTATTCTTAGGTTTTTTTTCGGTAAAGTCACGTAAGTAAAAAATTAAAATTAATAAAAGTAACATAAAAATAAAATAAAAATCACGACGTTTCGGAGGCAACACAAGCTTCTATTGTACTTTTATTAATTTTAATTTTTTACCTACGTGACTTTACAGAAAAAACCTAAGAATATCAGGGAACACTTTTTTGTTCATAACAGACGCGAATTGGATGTAACGCGATTGAGTGAATGGAACCGCATCGCGCGAGTAGTCGTACGGCTGCCTCGGCGTAGCAGCGCACAAGACGGGATGCTGCTGGATGCTTCTAGATGCTACCCACACGCCTCAGTTTTTGTTCAACCTGCGTACGCATCTCGCGTGCTATCGTGGACTGTGATTTACTCTTTATTCTATATTTTAAAAGGCGTTTTTTCCCCATAACGCGGCGTTCTTCAGGAACGCAACTACGGCTTTGTAGAAGAACAGACATTATTATTGCGGGCAAACCCAATTTGAGTAATTTAACGTACGATTTTAAAAAATTGATATTTGAGGGTTCTGGTGAAGTCATTCGAGGCGTACAGTCGATGATTACCGCCCCCCTCCCCGGTGCTCCCGCCCCCCGCGCCCCTCCCTCCCCCGCCCACCCCCTAACCCCGAGAGAAGGGGTCAAGGTCACTCACATCCCTCCCTGGGAAACCACGAGGGCCCTGGGGACCGGGATCTCCTGTGCACACAGAGGCAAAGTGGGGAGGGGGGGAGATAAGAATCACAATGTAATCTTGACTTAAAGCTTTCGCGACTGCAGGAATTTATATTCTTTGGGTCTTTCGGTAAAGCCACGTAGATAGAAAATAAATAAAAAATTTCATATTTGTATGTCAAAATAAAATTGTATTTATTTATTTTTCCATCTACATGGCTTTACCGAAAGACCCAAAGAATAATCACAATCATCAGATGACGACAACGATGATGACGGTGGTGGTACCGGTGTTGAAAACAGTGGTGCGGTAAGGATGATGATGATGAAGAAGATGATAGCAGTGATGGACTGATGATGATGATGATGCTGATGGTGGTGACAGGTGATGTACCTGGGGGTCCGATGGGTCCGGGGGTGCCGATGGGCCCCACATCCCCCGCTCGTACCACGTCAGCGTGCACGTGGGGGAGGCGGCTCCCTGCCGAACAGTCACGTGACGTTGATCAATGAGCTGCGTGATCTATTCGACGGATTTTGTAGTTTTTATGAATTTGTTGAAATCGTGAATATCGAACGCAACGATTGACCGCGTCTCCCGCGATCACTTACTCTCTCCTCGGGCCAGAGCCACGTTCTGGTTGCTCGACGTGGGACTAGGGGGGCCAGGAGGTCCGGGGGACCCCGGGAGTCCGGGGGGGCCGGGGACCCCTATTCCTCCAGGCGGTCCCATAGGACCCAGCCCACCGGTGGGGCCGGTTCGCCCCGCCACGCCGGGCCGGCCTGCAATGCAACAGCAGAACGAGATGGACACACTGTCAGTAAGTTACAGCGAGCGCGGCGAGCGGTGTCCCAGAAGGGCAATGTTGTCCGCTCCGTCTATACATTTATTTTCGTGCTTAAATCTCCAATAACTGCCAGAGGTGACGCAAGACACATCAGACGCGCGCCTCGACCATTGTCAGTGGCAACTCACGGGTACGGGCTGAGGAGGATAAAACGATAAAGGGGCAGCCCTGCAATTGCTTGTTCATTCCACTGCTGGTAGAAGCCTCCCCCCCCGCCCACCCCGACAACTAGGGGACGAACCCTCAAGGGTAATTGCTCTACTCTTCCACATTGACCAGACGTTGTTAAAAGAGGTGGGTGCACCCCCCACACGTGACCCCACCACGTGCCATCTCTTGTGGACCGGCGGGACTCGTCGCTCTACTCGTTTGTAACCGCTGGGTGGTCAGAGGCGGCATAAACTCGCCCGGTGTTTTCAAACTGCCGCCCCGGGGAATCGAATGGGAACGGGCGATCCTCGAGGATTGCAACATCCAGTGTGGCTAAACCATCACGCAGCGGGGTCCTTCATTCCATAATTATAAAATATATATATAAAAGCTGAGTCGACTGGGACAATATGTCTCATCTGCACGAGAGATATGGTGGTGGGGGAGGGGGTGAAACGAAAACGTGGCGGGTTCATAGAAGAAAACGCAGTGAACACAGAGAGATACAAAAAAAACCGATGGAAATGTAATAAAATTATAACTTACGTGTTGAGAATATCAGCATTTGATTTGCATTACTCGTGAACAGGGACGCTGCCGTGGTGCCATGGCTAGCACACGAGACTTGCATTTCGATTTCCCGGCGCGGCAGTTATCCCTTCCCCCCCCCCACCACCACCACTCCGGCCCCTCCACCCCGACTCTGTCCACCCCAGAAGTACGAAGGGTCACCCCGCAGTTAGTCCATGTGGGTAACTCCCACAGACTCCAAGACGCCCGGGCCAGCGTGCTGGGAAGAGTAGGCCAAGTACCCTTCGGAGAGGGCATCTCTATGGGCTCCAGAGAAGTTGAAGGCCCTTCTGGTAGCAGGGACATGAGCAAGCAGCTGCAGGGCAGCGCCTTTGCCTACTTGTTAAACAATCGATCGATGCACGTGTCGTGAGCGTAGGAATGAGATAAGGTTTTTGTGCGTCTTTTGAAATCGATGATGAATCGATGATTCGTCGCATTCCGACCCGTGACGGAATAAAAACTCTTGTAAAATCGTGCCATAATTAGCATCGAGAACTCGATCTACGGAACACAGAGTACGTATGTTTTTGTTTTATTTGTTGTTGGGTCAGCCATCTGTGCGCAGATGTGCGACCATGTGTTTATGAGCGTGTGTGTACGGGCGTGTGCATGTGCGAGCGAGGGTGTGTTATATGTATGTGTGTCGGTCTTCGCCACCCACCCACGCCCTCGTGTGTCGTTCCGGCCTTCATAGGTGCTCGCTAAGAGCACTTGCCCCAACAGTCTATTAAGGCTATACGGGGGATCTTTGCCTGTGTGTGGGGAGGGGGGGGTAGCGGTTAGCGCACTGCGCTGCGAACCCGGCCACCCAAGTTCCATTCCCGCTCACGGCCACCAACACCAGTGACGATTATCCGAACCGTTTCTGGACCACACGCAGATCGACTCGGCCTCAAATGAGTACATGGTGCGGTGTGTAAACATCGCCACTGGGGAGACAAAGGCGGCCGGGCGTGGTGCTGGCCACCCACCCCCTCGTGTGCCGTTCCGGCTTTCATAGGTGCTCGCTAACAGCACTTGCCCCAACAGTCTACTAAGGCTATATGGGGGATCTTTGCCTTTGGACGCGGATTTATGTGTGTGGGTGTTTGACATTTAAATTAGCCCTCGATTCCAGCTGCCTAAACAGCCAATAACGACCCGGCAAGGCAAAAGGACACTTACTATCAACGTTTACCCAAAATCCACACACACACACACTCTCGCGCAGAAACACACGTACACAGACCGGCACACTTGCACAGATGCCCGGCTACATTTGTCACCCAGAGTAACGATGTTTACACACCGCACCAGGTACCCATTTAAGGCTGAGTCGATCTAGGGGAGGCCCGGGACCGGTTCAGGCATTTTGGCAGTGAGCCAACATATCCGGCTTATAGCAGTGGCCACTCTAAAGCACAAAGACAAATATCCCCCTATAGCCATAACAGACTTTAGGGCAAGTGCTGTTAGCGAGCACCTATGAAGGCCGACACGGCAAGACGAGGGGGTGGGTGGCCAGCACCACGTCCGGCCGCCTTTGTCTCTCCAGTGGCGATGTTTACACATCGGCACGAGGTACACATTTGGGTCTGAGTCGACCTCGTTGCGACCCACACACACACACACTCAGCCATGCACAGAGCCTTGATTAAACATTCGTGACCTGTAACGTGCTGGCGTTTTGCTACCTCATTTGCAATATCCTGTGACCGCACTTGACCGCCATTGTTCACTATAAACACGCAATTTGCCTAATTACACGCATTGCTTACATTAAATAAACAAATGATTGGACGTGAAAAAAAACCGCACACACACGGAGGTCCACTCTCAAAACACAACCTCTCTTTAAAAAAAAGAAAAAAAAATCCGTCGGTCGTTCTCCGGACCCTTTCTATTGCCTCTTCCCACACACTCGGAGACATTGGCCCAAGCGTAAGCAGCAGGCACACGTACAGGTAGAGACGAGGTAAAGGGGCAGCCCTGAAATGTCTTGCTCATGCCACTGCTGGCGGATGGGCCACCAACTAGAAGGGAGTTCTAGTTGGTGGGTATTTTTGGGTGGCAAGTACCCGCACTCTACCAAGCACCCACACTTTATCCCACCACACGTGACCTGACCGATCGACTTAACCGAGGCGGAAGGCGGCGAGGGGTCTGGGGGGTGATATAAAAAACGTCGCATCATTGTTTCGACTGCCGCGCCGGGAAATCGAATAGAAACCGCGCCCTCTGGAAATCAAGTCAAGGAACAGAAACCATCAACCACGCGAACTGCGCTGCATCGTCGCAGCAGCTTGTGGCCAACAATTAGAAAACCAAGGCGGTGGTCACCGCATCGCGCGCTTCCAGATGCGTTTCAGCGGCCCGTCAGCAACGCGCTTCCCCTCCGATATCACTGGTCAACACACTTTTTCTGGCATAAGGTATTGCAACGGTTTTAAGGTAATTTTGGGGTGCTGATTCCAAATCTGGCATCAGTTTTTGTCTATCACATTCAAGGTTTTTGAGATATCAAATATTGCATTTTCAATAAAAACTGCAGAAGAAAAATATTAAATAAATGTGGATATCTACATAAATTATATTATAAACACACTATCCTAAAAATACAGCATCATATTTTAACACTAAAGCAGTCACTGACTCGCAACAACTTGCAATTAATTTCGGGTAAAATCGATGAAAATGGGGTATGCCGATAGCATAAAATGATATGTGATAGAGCAAATCTGAGATCAGATTTGGAATCAGCACCCTGAAATTAGTCTAAAACAGCTGCAAAAGTCCAGGCCAGAAAAAAAAACTTTTTTTTGTTGTTGACCAATGTATTGGGAAGCCGCAGGAGCTACGCCCTTTGAAATCATCGAGATCGAAAACTTACTTCTTCAGAACTACTGACTGTCTTTAGTTTGTTGTCCTTACCCCGGCACCTGCGACGAGCACGGTTGCCTACGTACGGTGCGAAAGAAGTTCAACAAACGTACATACCAAGCCCGGCTTGCTAAATCATGACACGGTAAATATTGCAGTTTGGATTCATCGTGGGACAGAAATAAAAATAAATAAAAATGCTGAAATAATAAATGAACGGTCGCTCGAACGTGCAAACCGAAAGTTTCGTCGGATCGGCTGGCGGGGCAAAAGCACTGCCCCGGGAACGCTCGCGAAGCAGTCGTGGAAATTCCACATTCCCATGGCGGCGTCAAACCGCTCTTGTGCATGCTGTGAAAGATTGTTGCTGTTAAAACAACAGCAGCAGCGTCGTGGTGGCTGTTGCACGCCAGGTGTGGTAATTGAATCCCGGAATAATGGTCCTCTCCCGAGAATAAGCAAAGTCAATAAAAGCTTCTAAAGCCCCGACTCTGCACCCCACGACAGCTAGACTTAATGTCGTCCCTGTTAATTACGCCATTCTTAGGGCCACTTATGCCCAATTATGTTTTTCTTTGTATAATGGGCCATTTCCCCCTACCGTGTTAGCACACGGACGTCTACATTTGCGCGCGCGCGCGTGCGTATCAGCGGTTAAAGCGCGGCGCTGCGCTACGAACCCGGCGACCCGAGTTCGATTCCCGCACACGGCCACCAACACCGGCTGTGACGATTATCTGAACCGGTCCTGGGCCTCCCCGAGGTCGACTCGGCCTCAAATGAGTGGCTGGTACGGGGTGTAAACATCGCTACGGGGGAGACAAAATGCGGGCGGGCAGGCGTGATGCTGGCAGATCTGTCAAATAGGTGCTCGCTAACAGCACTTACCCAACCAGTGTTCATTAAAAACTACACGCGATGTGGTCTAAGTGGCATTGACGTTACCACGGCGCTTGTGCCAGGCTAAGTGCACTTTGGGGCCACGCGAAGTGTCGAAGGCTCGCTGGCAAGATGGTCAACGGAACCAGACCCAGGTGTTATGGGTTGACTGACTTGCGATGACTTTGGCAGAGCCAACGTACACAACACGAGACAATACCCCCCGTGTAGCCTAAGAACGGGCTGTTGAGGGGAAAGTAGCGCAGACACCGAGACGCGTGTGTTTTTAAAGAGTGGAAAATTACGCAAAAGTAAGGAGGGCGGATTACGTTAAATCCCTGTTTATTTTCCCATCTCGCTTCCCCCATCGCTCTCTCTCTCTCTCACCGTCTCAGCCGTCTCGCCTCGATCCCTACCCCTGTGATGTGTGGGTGGTGGTGGTGGTGGGAGCTCGGGGTTATTGGGCGTCGTTGAGCCGTGACCCACTCTGAAAACCGCACCCAGACCGCGTGGTCGTCACGGCGAATATTGCACGGAGTGAGGTACAGGGCACAGGCGGACACAGAAACGGCAGGTAGCAGATACAGACAGGTGGATGGACACACAGGTGGACATACAAACGTACAGGCAGACAGACAGACAGACGGATGGACAGGCAGACGTGCATACAGGCACAATTATAGATGGACAGACGAACGGATGGACATGCAGATAGACAAATAGACAGACAGATGGACATAATACGGATACACAGACAGACAGGTAGACAGGTGAGCAGGCAGGCAGACACAGTGATAGACAGATGGACAGACTAAATGATGGACCAATAAACATCACAGTAAATGGACAGAGCAGACAGAGACGAGACAGACAGACAGACGTATGGATTAACAGACAGCCAAACAAAGACAGACACAAGTTTCTCTGACGTGGGGCTCGACGGAGCGAGAAAGGTGCGGGAAGCACATTCAACTAAACTCTGTAACTCATTACCCCACCTCTTTCGTCCCACCCGATTATAATTTGCCTGTTGTTGTTTTTTTTTGCAGAGTAATAAGTGCCGACCACTTTAGTGCCCGTCTCGGATCTGCGCTGCTCATGGCGAGGATTGCGATTCACGTCGGAGGGGTCAAGACTCTTCATCTAGGAACTTTTTGATCAAGAGACCCAGTGTGGAGAGAGAGGGAGACGACGCAGAAGAAGACAGGAGAGACACGGAGGTGGAGAGAGTGGTAGATGTAATGTACTGTATGTTGAACTTCTTTCGCACCGTACGTAGCCAATCGCGCTAATCGGAGGTGCGGGGGACGAGGAGAGAGAGATAAGTGAGACGCAAGCATTTTGGAATTGAGTCGGAGATGACAAATCACAGCCAAGTAGAGACACCGAGAGGGTGGAGACACTAAGACACCGAGAGGGTGGAGACACCGAGACACAAAGAGGGTGGTGACACCGAGACACAGAGAGGGTGGTGGGTGAGACACGGGGATTACGAAGAGTCATTCCTTACTCCACCATCGTATGCCCTCGTCTTGCCGGGCCAGGCAACAGAGGCTTCATCAGCAGTGTGGTGGGGAGGGTCCCAAGACAACAATAGCGTCGTCTCTATGTGTTGGAGAAAGCTTGTGGAAATGAAATCATTGTACGGCTATTTGTGACGCGCATAATGTAGTTGGCGTCGCTCGAAATCCCGGGGGCAGTGGTGGGAACTTTGAGGCAAAGTCTATCAATAATTATTTGTAAGGTGCCTTCCACTAATGTCTCAAGGATTGACTGCTGCTGCTACTGCTGCTGCTGAGAATGTTCAGCAGCAGCAGCAGCGGGGAGAGGGTGATGATGTCCGCGTCCCAGACGGCCGGGCTTGCCACGGAGAAACGACGCCCGTCAGTGACCATGGACCCGGCCCTTGGTGTAGAGAAGACGAGGAGGTTGTGGTGCAGACAGGGGGCAGGAGTGCGGAGAGCAACAATGAGTGGCAGTGGCGGTGCTGGCCCTTGGAATATGTATGTAGTGTGACAGCGCCGGCTAGTGGACAGCAGCGGCAACTGTGGCGGACGGAGAGCGCACACGCCGGTGAGGGCGTGCGCGGTGTGTTGGCAGAGCGGAGGAACTGGGGCATGGGTCACGGAGGACCCCGTCTGGAGGCCCCTGGAACCTGCTGGTGGGCTCGAGAAAGGAGGCGCGGTCAGGGCGGAGCCAGGCCGCGCTGGGTGGCATAAAAGGAGCCGAGAGAGGGAGCTCAGGGCTGCCGGTTCTTGGAGTGGACTCGTCTCGTCGTCGCTGCTGTCTTCGCTGGATGTTGCGCGGACAGATAGTTCTTCTTGGTTCTTTCAGTAAAGTCACGTAGAAGGGAAATAATAAAATAATAACAATAAAACATAATAAAATAAAATTAGCACGACATTTCAGCCACAACGCAAGCAGCCGTTGCAGCCGAAACGTCGTGAGAATTTTATTTTATTATGATTTATTTTTATAATTTCCCTTCTACGTGACTTTACCGGAAGAACCAAGAAGATGAATCCCTGCAGTCACGAAATCTTTAAATCGGGACAGATAGTTGTTGGCCGTCTCGGTCAGCGCCATCGGTGTTAGACGATGAGGGTTGTGGTCAGGCTAGGCAACTATGGAGAGTGCGAGGACGAACCTGTGAGGTGTGGACTTGTTAAATAAAGAAGGTGCCTCCTGGAAACCCTTGTCTCCGAATCACTGGCTCTACACATATATCGAGGAGGTTGTGAGTCTCTCTGCTACTGCTGCTACTGCTGTTACTGTGGAAAGTTTTACTGTGAGCTGTTGCCCCTTGGTAAATCATTTCGCCTCCTTTAAAACAAAAAAATGGCTCGGTGCTGCTCAATATTCGCAGCCATCCCAGCCACCTCGTAAAGTCCAGTTTCTAAACAGAAGGCGCCCTTCATAAACACTCGGCTGGTGTCTTGTCATCACAAGCCATTGGGCGATGTCACATGGCCACAAATGGCGTGGCTGATTGTATTTATATAATAAGATACATCGATCGCGAGGGCGAATTCTCCGTTCGCCTTGTCTGCCTTCATAGGTGCTCGCTAACAGCACTTGCCCCACCAGTCTGTTAAGGTTATACGGAGGAGCTTTGTCTCTGTGTGTTCTTCTCTTTCCCTCTCGACTCTTTCTCTCTTCCCTTAGGTCCCGTCCAGTCCAAACACTTAAATGGAAACAGAACTGGCCCTGGCACCGCTAAATGTGTGTACGCATGTGTGTGGGCGGGCGCGTGCAAACTCGCACGTGTCTCTCTGTGTGTGCTGTGTTTATGCAGACGTTCGTATGTTATATACTGAGCGGTATACACGTGTGTTTGTGTGTAAGTGTAATTACATGTTCACCCCTTGACACATGCGGGTCCGTCCCACGACTTTCCGCCAGACAGCCTTCGACACTTCACGTGATAGTCTAAAAGTGTACCGAGGCTGGCGCAAGCACCACGGTGGTGATGTCACCGCCACTGAGTGGCGATCAGCGGCTGCTGTTGTGCGTGTCAAGTGTGCGTAGCTTAGTCCCGGAATGCGCACGATGCGTTCACAGGTGAGTTTTCAAATTGTGGGAAGTCAATATTTGGTTGTCGAATGTCTGGAATGGCCAGAGCCACGAGAACGTGGAATGTCCACCATTGGCTGAGGACCACACTCCATCGTCCACAAAGTTCACCTTTTGAGTTTGTCTCCGTCAGGGTAAATGTTGGGGTTCACATTTTAATTATGTGAAAAAAAAATTGTCCAAGGTTAAACGTCCTAAAAGAATGTGGCCTATATGAAGACATTTGGTGTATATTTTATGTGCCCATATTTCACTTTTATAGACTGGTATAATATAAATAACTTTTCTGGGACTACTATCTGACCGAGTGAGTAACATCATCATCATCCTTGTCAGCAGCAAGAGGATTAGTTATCGTGTTATTCCAGGTGTTGAGAGACCAATAGGGATAATTTATAACGGCCATAAATATTCAAACAATGATCAAAACGAAAACGTAAACCAGACCTTTAAAAAGCTTCCCAGCGACCCAAGGAATTACATAAACTGCTGCGAAAATAAACCATTCGCACAGCAAAACCCAAACAAAAGCTTAGAAACGTCAACAAAAACAGCCTCACAAACAAACATAAACACAGGCATCCACTCAGCCAAACAAATATCCAAACAACCAAACTGGCTGCCAAAAACTTAAACACTCAAACGTGTGGACGACTGTGGCGTGCAGTTTGCGGCATTGTACCGCTGTTCGGCGCGATGTCCGACGTTTGCGCTCCGCCTCCAGCGCGTGCAGCGGATTCAGTTCCAGCGTGCGGCATCGCGCCGAGCGGGGGGCGCGTGATCAACACCAGAAAAACGCTTCGCAGGGTTACGTAAGCATCCACACAGACAGCAAGACACAAACACGCGCGCACGCGCACGCACGGACGACCACACACTGGCCTGTGGGTCCCATGGGTCCTGCTTTTCCACGGGTCCCTTCGGTGCCAGGTCTCCCGGGAATTCCTGGGGGTCCCGGTTGTCCAGCCGGTCCAACAGGGCCTGAAAGCCAGGGTCAGGATTAGGTTGGTGTGACACGGGGAGACAAGGAATCGTGTTGATAGTGGCGGGGGCTGTTTGCGTGGATAGGTCGAAGGGCTGTGGGTGGGGGGGTTGTGGAGGGGAGGTGATGGTCGGAGCCAATTCAGGCATCACGTGTGTGTGTTGAACTTCTTTCGTCCCTTACGTAGCCAACCGCGCTAAACTCAACACACACACACAAAAGCAGTGGCAAACATTTGGCTCGCTGTCGTTAGCCATGGCATAGAATCAAACTCGGATCACTGTGGTTCACAGTTCAGTGCTGCCAGCCATCGCCTCTCCCCACAACCCCGGCCCCCTTCGCACTCTTTCCCTCCCCCCCCCCCTCAGCAAGTCTCCTTCTAATAATGCTGATAGCCACAATCGGGCCAATAATTTACCCAGGAAACCCCCAACGTGTAGGCAATTTCTAAATTAATTCGTGAAAGTAAATCACGTGTTAATCTTCAATGCGGCATGCATGGGAGGCCCTGCTAAGAGACAGGCAGACAAGGCGCGTGCGTTCAACGGCGATTCCAACGGGACGGACGAATTCCTCCGCTAATGATGATGATGATTTACTACAGCAACTGGCAGCCACGAGACACCGAGCAATGAAATTCGGTTCGGTCCACTTGCCTATGTCTGGCGGCTTTACAACATTACTTTTTCCCCTTCTCCCCTACCCGTTCTCGACTCCTGGATTGTTCGGAGAGTTTTACTGCTCTCTGTCTGGTGGGCTATGCACTTCCCCCACCACTCACTCTCCCACTCAACCACCCTATCTACCCACCCTGCAACTCTGCCCACCATCACTGCCAGCACTAACCACGACCTCCAACGGATAACGCCCAAATTATTGTCGATCCCATCCCATGTCCAATATTTGTCAGCTTATACTGGACCGTAGGATAACATAGCTGAGCCATCCGATTATTTGAGTAATGGAGTACTCTAATTGTATTAAATCGGATGACCACGAGAATAGTTGGGGAAAAAATCTGTTCCCATGGTGGCCGGGGCTTGGTGACATCATCGGCATCATCAGCTGACCGTGGCACCATCGGGGGTTTCCTGCCTTCCAGAGGCGAGGAGGTGGCGAGCGGCCACCGCTTTTGTTGAAAGGGATCCGATGAATCACCGACAAACAAAGCGGAATAAATCAGCGGACAAATACGCCCCCTTCACATATGGCATCGCTCCGCGTGAAGAAAAACAAAACAGTGTATTTTTTTTTTACAAACCATCAGTCGCACACGGTCTTCTTGGGAGTGCATATTTATTTCAGCAGCATTGGTTCAATCCGGGCAAACTCTGGGCCGGTTGTGACAGTCAGTGTCTCATCATCAGCAGAGTCAGGCTCGCTTGAATCAATGCGGGTGAACTGGCCGATCTTACAGGCAAAGGACCCTCCTCTATTTACAATATGGGACCATACAAAATTCAGTTAACGACCATTTTACCTCATTGAATCAACTTAATCAACAAACAATCCAAGCTTGAAGCTATATATTGGTCACATGTGACCGCCGCTCAGGATACTGCACAAAAACAGTGGCCTTGTTTATACTTTATTATTTATTACACAGAAAGATAGAGAGACAGTCATCGACAGAGGGAAACGTAGGCCTCGAGCCTGGACTTGAACAGGGGTGGAGGGAGTCAACAACACGAATGGGAGTCCCAGACTGGCGGGGCAGGTCGGCACTGCAATAGTGAATGTAGCGGCCCCTAGTGGTTTAAGGGCTCGCACACGAACCAATTACATATAACGAATATGAAAATAACCGATGATATTATTTCATCGAAAATGAACGTTTGATGGATTTAACTTTTCTCACCTTGCTTCCCGGGCTGTCCGGCCGGTCCCCTCTCCCCTTGGAGCCCTGTGGGTGCGCGCGCGAAGACACGCCACGGATCAATGAACGCATGTACCACGTGTCTTACATTAGTTAACAACTTTGTTCATAGTTCGGCAATTGTTAATTTTGGGGCAGAACATACAAAACTGAATCTGACCAGGTGGCATTGTTCGTAGCACAGTGTTCTATCTGCCGCACCACTGCTATATGGACGCAGAGACAAAGATCCCCGATATACATATCCATACAAACTACATCATTAGACCTCCTTTGCCAGTACCAAAATATAATAATAGGGTTTTGTCCCCTTTTTCCCCAGTTTCAAGGACAATGCATATATTATCATAGTATGTTTTTGTTTGCATTTTGACTGCAAGTATTGTGGTTAATGCAGACACGAATCCTTGTAAAAAGGTTTCAGTTTTGTTGCCAGAAAAAAGGGGAAACCCCCTATTATTATTCCATACAGACTGTTTGGGGCAAGTGCTGCTAGCGAGTTGCTTGACGGCCAGGGCCGGTTCAGTTGTCACTCGCCATTGATGTCAGCCGTGGTCAGGAATCGAAGTCAGTCGGCACACTCCATGGCACAGCACGGTAACCCACTGCACCGCCGTCACACGGTACCACGCATCACAAACGCACGTGCCGCGCGCATACGCTGGCGCTTCTGACCTTGAGGGCCAGGCAGGCCCATGGGCCCTTGCGGGAGGAGGGACCCGAACGCGACCTCTGCCGTGACCTCAGGCCCGTGGGCCCCTTGACCCGCGGCTTCGGCCGGGAGCTCATTGCTCGAGTCCCCTGCCGCCCTGTCCCCCGACTCCATCAGGCGCACCTGGCGGAGGGAGAGTTGGGGGGGGGGGGCGGACACGGCGACGTGAGCCGACGGAGCCAACCTCGCGAGCAAAGCGCGTGCGCATTCACAGGACCCACTCAACCCTAGCGTTGCATACACTGGGTTTACAATTACACAGGTGATGAGAAATAGCGATGGTGCCGGGTTGACTTAGGGGGTCCGTGAGAGAGCTGTGTGAACATATTTTTTAAAAATGATTTTTAGAGGTGGCTGGAGTGGCTCAAGGGATTCGAGGTCTGAGCACCGAGGCCTGTGCAGCTGAGGTCCTGGGTTCGATTCCGAGTTCGGCTACCCGTGATGACACCACCAAGACATTGTGTTGGATTGAAAGGGTGAAAGAAGAAGTTCAGAAGACGTAAAATAATAAAATAAATAGCGACATCGAAGCGGTGAAAGTAACGCATACAGAAGACTGACTATGGCTCATTTAAAATCGCTCTCATTCTCCAAATGTGTGCTCCAATCAAAGCACTTCCTTTTGCCAAAATATTCTCTAAAGCCTAGTGAACATAGACAAAAAAAACCCCCATCACAACGAATATTATCTTGGCATTTTACTATAACGTAAAAAAAAAATCAGGTTCCTGTGAGCACGGGAGGATTATGAAAAAAGCGTCGTGAACATGACGGCTGTCTCTTAATTCCCCGTTGCAGAGCAATAGCAGCTTCTCTCCTCGTAATTGTCAAAACAATTCCTCCCTCTTTGACACACGTGGCACGACATCCAAAAGCGTTTGTTTCTGGTAGGAACCTCCTGGTTCCACCAGCCCACAGGGGATTATTGTGTCCGTCCGTCCGTCGTGCATCCAAAAATGGGAAGGGTGGGGCTGGGTGGAGAGGGGAGGATGGGGAGGGGCTGGGTGGGGAGGGTGGGGAGGGGCTGGGTGGGGGGTGGGAGGGGTGGGGCTGGGTGGGGATGGGCTGGTTACCCCGTGGTGCCCTTATAAAACTCAACGTTTAACCTACTCACGCCGGCTTGTGCCCGCCCTCACAGTCGGCCATATTTGCGGAATACACCACGCCGCCGTTGACTCTGGCCATTGACCGAGCAACCCAACGTTCCTAGCAGCTCCCTCTGCAGGAATGTGTTTAAAAGAGAACCCACGATATGTAGATTCCTGTGCTGGTCTTAGAGTGGAGACTATCTCCAGTAGGAGAGAAGATATCGGCTTAGTCAAATCAAGCAGTGCCTGGAGCAGGGGTCGTGAACAGAAACAAGAAGAAGAACCATTTCTGTTCGAATTCGGTAACCCCCCCCCCCCCCCCAATATTTCAAGAGCCGCAGTGCACTGTGTGGTGAATACGAGAGACGGTGATATCCTCAATAAATACCGGTCACGAGGCAGTCCTTAACGAGCCCCATGCGGATCCATAGCCGCAGGTTGCAGACCCCTGGGTTAGAGTAAAGGCTCACAATCACGAGTTTGGGATTCTAGATTTGAAGCTTTCGTGACTGCAAGGATTCATACTCTTAGGTTTTTTCGGTAAAGTCACGTATTTTTTAATTATTTATTTTTATTATTTATTTTTTACCTACGTGACTTTACCGAAAAAAAACCTAAGAGTACGAGTTTGGGAGTTCGATAACAAATGTTCTATCAAACAAATATCAATTTGGGGGTGGGGGGATGTCAATAGCGGCTGTGAAATGAAAAGGCTCGCCCCTGCCAATGTGGAATTTCCACCGTTGGCTCAGCGTGAGCCATTAGCGTGACCTTTGTTTAAAAAGGAGGGGAGGGGTAGGGGGGCATAACTCTGTGAGGGCACGACGCGGTCAATGTTAAGTAAACTTTAAACAAACGTTAAACGTACTCTTTGGTTCGTTCGGTAAAGTCACGTAGTTAGAAATAAAATAAAACAAAATAAAACAAACGTTGAACGCTGAACAGAATGAGTGACGATGCTCAACTAAACCATTTTTTTTAATTTTATTTTAACCAGGTAAGGCCCACCGAGTAATGTAGCTCTTTTAAAACAAGCAAACTGGCTATCACAAACGAATGCTCAACGAGGTTGCTGATAATAGTTTTTTTACCCTTCTATCTGGCAACAAAACTGACACCTTTTTACAAGGAGTCATGTTTGCATAGACCGCAATACCTGCAGTCATAATGCAAACAAAAGAACATAACTCTGATAATGTGCACTGTCCTTGAAGTTGATTGGTCCACACCCGAGACAGCTTTCCTTAGAGCCTAGTCTCACATGGGTTGGACCAGATGACGCCAAAAGGCGCACAACTCAAAGACAATGCACCATCAGAGTATGAGAGCTCGGGGCAAGCATCTACACTATGGGAACCTCATTTGCCAGTAAAAATATGATAATTGTTTTTTTACCCTTCTACCTGGCAACAAAACTGACACCTTTTTACAAGGAGTCATGTTTGCATAGACCGCAATACCTACAGTCATAATACAAACAAAAGACATAACTCTGATGCAGGTATTGCGGTCTATGCAAACATGACTCCTTGTCAAAAAAGGTGTCAGTTTTGTTGCCAGATAGAAGGGTAAAAAAAAACAATTATCATATTTTTACTGGCAAATGAGGTTCCCATAGTGAGGTTGCTGATGTCATCATCACGTGGACGTTTTATGGCGGCAGCCAAGATGCAACCCGCTGTTGTCCATCCTGTATTCGGCTCTCGTGCCCTGTGCTGTACAGGAGGCCGCCACTGCTGATAAATATTTCGAGAGTTTAGAAAGGGGGCCGCTAAACCTTCAGCAGGGCGTGGATGATGATGGGGGGGGGGGGGGCTCAGTCAATGGTGGTACCAGCTCATTGGGGGGCCGGACCTAAGCATAAATTCGTTTTTGGGTGCGTCATGTGACAAACAGTCTGCCGGGAAACAACGCTACTTATATTAACTTGCGTTTCAAGTTTCAAGTTTATTTATTAGGTAGAGCCCCGTGAGCCATGTGGCTCTTGACTCGGGTGCAACCGCAACAAACTAAAACATGGACACAGAACATCTTAAAATGACGACACGCAACACACGAATGCTCAGCGTAGTGGCTGATATCATCATCGGCGGTTTTTGGCGATTATATCGACGTGTGAAATAACAAAGGCTATTGATTAATTACAAACATTTGTAAGTGTGCCATTAGAATGATGAGATTTCTGTATGCATTTATTGACACAAGGATCTGAGTTCGAACTGATATTTATTCGTTTTTTGTTAAATACATCTGGGAACCCCTTGGTTTACTTGGGGCCCTAAGCTTTTGCCTGCATTCCTAGCGCCACACCAGTGATCCTCTCCCTTACGTGGGTGGGGTGGTCAGGGATTGCGAACACGAGACGGGTGATGTAAACTGTTCAGAATCAGAAAATTTATTTGTGCTGGAGGAATCCGTTGGCTGCGGCCATTCGACGCCTGAACATTCGCAGACGCAGGTCAAGTCGGACTGGGTGGCCGTCGCTGCTTCTGCTGTTGCTGCTGCCTCACTCGCGTGGCTGTCGCTAAACCGCGTGGCGGTGGCAAAAAAACGACGACGCGCATCTCACCGCACGCGCGATGCAGCCGCCGCTGTCTCTGCGGTGCGCTGGGGGAGGTCTCGCAACAGACGTGGAACGGTTCAACTCCCACCCTGCCAATACCCACCCCCACACACACCACCACACCCCCACCCCACCCCACCACACCCCCACCCCGCCCCCACTACCCCCACCCCACCACCCCCACCCCACCACCCCCACCCCACCACCCCCACCCCACCACCCCGCCCAAACCCCACTACCCCCACCCCACCACCCCCACCCTACCACCCCCCACGCCGCCCCCACCACCCCCACCCCACCACCCCCACCCCACCCCCACCCCACCACCCCCACCCCACCCCCACCACCCCCACCCCGCCCCCACCCCACCGCCCCCACCCTACTACCCCCACCCCGCCCCCACCCCACCACCCCCCGTCCCGAATTAGACGATTTGCCAGAATTGTCATAATTCGCAAGAATGTTTTTTCTTTCATTTACACTGCGGTTATTGGCGAGCTGAAGCGATTCATATTGTTTTTAAAATGGTAATTATTGTTATTAGCATCATCATAAAAAGCCACTCAGGGGTTGACTTGGTTCAGCGTCTTTCCCCGCGATGCCTTAAAGTTTGTGTTCAAGTAGAGTGTATGCCTTTCAGTTCAATAATAATACAAAGTAATATTGATTATATATAGAGACCTTTCGTTAATCCACTGTTGGATGAAGGCCTTTGAACCAACCGTGTCAGTCACGAGGGTTTGTTGGACCATACCTCACCACGCCAATCAGTGTGGGTTGATGACACCCACGACCCTTTTGGAAATCGCTCGTGGCTGGAAATTTGAACTCTGATCGCACAGCGCACTAACCACTAAGCAAACCGCTGCACCCCTGTACTCATTACTCACAGCGTATACAAATGCAACGACGGCATCGATCATTTCGCGCGAGATTTGATGCACGTGGCAAGGGCCGAAGAAGAATCGGCGTTATTCGCAATGACCACGGGGGAACCCGCTTGCATATAGCGATCAACATCCAGATATCACCCACGGGCCAATAATGATGTCGGGTACCATCATCACACATTGCCATCACTTCCTTCCTCCTGCCTGATCCGGCAACTGTCACACAGTCGACACCCAACCTCTGAGGATTCATTGTTAACGCCGCCTGGCTTCAGGTCTTCCCTTTCGCCGCAAAACCTCCGGGTGCCACTGCAGCGCCGGTCTCTGGGACCTGCCCCCCCCCCCATCCTGGAACACGTTGTCCCACCCATCACAACCTCCGCATCCTGATTGTAGCTTTCAAATTGATTCCCTGTCGCATCCTATTTTGAAATTCCATGTCGAAGCACTCTTCACTTTTCCTGCCACCTCTGGAGGATTAAAACGACAACAACAAAACCCCCAACTATTAAGAGAGTGAAGAATAATTAATTTTAACAAAAATGTTCAAATGTTCTTTCGAATTGGTCAAATAAATGTAGACTTCCACTCACATATAAACGAACGCACCCACAACAAGATGAAGACCGGACTGAGACGACTTGATGCGCACCTCCGATTAGCGCGGTTGGCTACGTACGGTGCGAAAGAAGTTAAACGTGCACACGTACACTTGAGGACAAGGTCTAATCACAGGTGGCCAACCCAGAATCTTAGCGGTGTCCGATTAACGCTCGAACCACCCGGTCACCTAGAAATGTTGTTCAATCCATTCGAAGGATTCACATTGTCCGACTGAACTGACGTGGACTTACGTTTTATTTTTTATTTACTTGGGACAATGATGGGTTCAGCATTTGGCGGCCAAATGTGACCGATTAAACCTCTAATGTAATGAATGGGGCAGTGAATGTGAATAAAGGACTTTTTGAAAGCCACACTGCCGGGCTGTGTTTACTCCACTGCTCGCTAGCGGGTAGTATAATCAATCTGTTATTGTACGTTACGCCTAAGTTCATTCAAGCAGCAACTTCATAAATCACACGCACGAACACACGCGCACACGAGGCCTGTAAAGATGCCTCGGTTTAACTGATGCGGTTGCTTTGAGACGCTGCGGATTTTAAACGCCGTTTGAGCGAAAATCCTCAAATTCTTATTCAAATAAATGTTGACGCTCACGATATATGCTTTGAATCGTTCTTGGAAGCAACGATTGCCTGTCATTTATGCAAACCATATGCACATGTATGTACTTATAATCAAATTACCCTTATGATAGTTGTTGTTGTTATTATTTTGTGTTCTTTACTAATATAAACTCAGCTCGTGTGCAGGAGCGAGGTGGACTGTCACACCGCAGGATTTGTGAGAGATGGTGGCGGCTTGGGGTGGTCTTCTCCCAGAAGTGGCATGACCTTGGCTAATAAATATGATACTAATATCACGAGGCATATCAACAAACACCAAGACACTGATCCCTGCCCCCTATAGCCTGAAAAGATTGTTGGGGCAAGTGCTGTTAGGGAGCTCCTATCATGGCAAACGCGGCACACGAACGGGTGGTGTTTACACACCGCACCAGGTACTTATTTGAGGCTGAGCAGACCTAGGGGAGGCCCAGGACCGGTTCAAATCACCATCACTGGTGTCGGCCGAGAGCGGGAATCGAACTCGGGTCGCCGGGTTCGTAGAGCGAGTGCACAAACGACCGCTCCCCTACTATAAACACACACACACTCTCTCGCACACACGCGAGCACACAAACACGTGTGCACACAGATGTCTGACCCAACAACAACAAAAAAACAACACGCCCTGTGTTCCGTAAAAACGAGTTCACGATGTTAAATTATGGGACCATTTTAGAAGTGTTTTCTATTGCCAGTCATGAGCATTTAATAGTGCTTCGATTCATTCTGTTCTCATTAAAATGTACACACAAACTTGAATACTCAATTGCATATACAAAGGCGAATATTCCCCGGCTAGCCTTTAACAATCTGTTGGGGCAAGTGCTGGTGGAGAGCACGGATTTCAGGGCTGGCCAGAACCTCACACGCACACATAAATACCCAAACACATACACACGCACACATAAACACCCAAACACATACACACGCACGCACACACAAACACCTAAACACATATACACACCCAATAAACACCCAAACACATGCACATAAACACCCCAACACATACACACGCACCAATAAACACTCAAACACACACACACATAAACACCCAAAAACACACACATACATAAACACCCAAACACACATACACACGCACACAGATAAAGTCACCCCCGTCCGGTATAACCAGACGGGCTCTTATGGTAAATGCTGTTAGCGAGCACCTATTAAGGCCTTAATAGGAGTGGCGTTGACGAGCACCACGCATATACAAAAACAATCAAACACACACACACACACACGTGCATACAGACACATACACGAATGCACAAACGCACATAAATTCGCACAGATGCATCGCCCGAGATTTGAGTCGACGCGTGCCGGGTGTTCGCTGCAAAACTTCCGCGTCCGAACAGAACGACGCAGCATTTGCTCTGTAACGGGCGCCATCCATCAGCCTGGAGCCTTGCTTCAGTTTTTTGTCTCGAGACGAGGCCCTGGGTTTTGTCAAGAAGCTCTCTGCTTCGTTACTTGTTAAGCAAAACGTTGAGCAAACCCCCCCCGCCCCCGTGACTGACACGGGGCCTTCGTCCAGCAGTAGATTGACCAAGACTATTTACATCGTCGTTGAGATGCGGGTTGCGTTGGAACGCTGCGTAAATCCGAATTGAAACGCACTGCATTGTCCGGAGGGAATGCCACCAGCCAGCCATGGCGGTGTGCTAGAGGAAGGAAACGAAAGGACGTGGAGGGGGTGACTGGCGTAGGGGAGAAGGAGACACAAGGACAAAGATCCCCCGTATAGCCTTCAGCAGGCTGTTAGGACAAGTGCTGTTAGCGAGCAACTATGAAGGCCGGCACGGCACACGAGGGGGTGGGTGGCCAACACCACGACATTTCTCTACCCAGTGGCGATGTTTACACAGCACACCGGGAACTCATTTGAGGCTGAGTCGACCCAGGGGAGGCCTAGGACCGGTTCAGATAATATAATCGTCACTGGCATTGGACGTGAGCGGGGCTCGAACTCGGGTCGCCGGGTTCGTGAGCGCAGAGCGCTAACCGCTACCACGACCGCTCCCCACGAGCACAGCAACACTGGCAACAGATGGGATGATGTTGATGCTGCTGCTTGAGGTTTATTGATCTAGCAGCGTCCTTAACAGAGGCTGGACGGGAAGAAGAAGGTACTGACGTGGTCATTAAGGTGTTCTCCAATCTACCAATTTAAATACCAGTGTAAATACAAAGGCACCAGCAATTGCCCAAGCTCTGCGATCCTTTATACACGAACGTTTTCAGCCAATGAATGAGTGCGCATACAACAAGTGGGAGAAAACCGGAGGACCCGGTGAAAACCCACGCGTGCGAGGGGGCAACGCTCTATCCCATGCAGAAGGGGCCGGTGGAGATTAGTCCACAATTGTGCCCTACCGCCTTCTCTTGGCGAGCCGTGGTACGGGCTCCTCCTCGACGCCCATGGAAACGAGGGAGTTGTGCAACGTTCGTATGATCCACTAACCCTAGCTGCCTTAGCAGTGCTTCACCACTCCCGCCCGGCTTTCATAGCAAAGCCCCACCTGTTTTGTGGTTATGACCTTCCTCTGGGCTCACCTTGGCCTCCATGTCTTTGAGTTTGCTCGTCAGCTCGGTGAGGCGCTCGCAGTCCATGCACCCTGCATCGCACAGCGCAAGCACAGGAGGAGGCATTGAGACATCTGAGAGGTTTATTTTTTTTATCTCCGTTGCAAAGTGATATACTTTTTGAAATTCATAATTCGAGAATGAAACGAATAACAACGCAGTCGCGGTGGCCGAGGGGCTCGCGAGTTCAGAGCGAGGAGCCGGCACGACTAAAATGCTGGGCTCTACTCCGGGGTTTCAGCCACCAATGACTGCTCCCAAAAAAAACAAACCCATCGCCACTTAATCATACAACACATTTTTTATATAATAATTAAACATGCGTCTGGCTGTCACGCGACGAACTTTGCCCTCATATGGCAAAGCGGGTGGTAAGGTTATGCCATTTACTGTGTGGACCAGAGGTCACGTGAAGGAAATCTCAAAGGTAGCTCTGCAGTGTTCACTTCTGCGGGTCATCCTCTAACATAAGGCGTTGCACTGCTTTGCGAGCAATCCGCATGGATGCTGCGTCTCGTGACGCATGATGTTGACGGCACAAGTTGGGATTATAACTGGGGCTAAAATTACATCAAAAGCACAAAACAAAGCTTGCTGAATCGGGACAGATTTCCTTAACTGTAGTGTGCTGCAAGTTGCAAGCTATGGTGTCCGAGACAGGCCAAGATCACCTAAACTGGGCCCACCTCTGAGCATCAGTTGGGCCACTGAATTACTCAACTGCAATCGCCTGCAACCGCTTCATCCACGTCTAAGCGAGTAGTTGCGCAAAAGGGCAGTTAAACGGCATGTTCATGATCGTAACAACCTATCCTAGTTCGCAAACATTCTTCTAATTTTTTATTCAGCAGATTGCCGCTCGACTGTCGAGTCTGTATTGTAAGAAACTGTTTGCGCAACTTCTCGTTGCAAGCGATGGAGTTGCGTGCAACCGAGTTGTGCAACTGATCGCTCCGGTGGGCACCCGGCTTTGAAAGCTTTAGTGTCCGGGAAACGCCGGTGGAGCATTTACAACCACGGTGTCTGAGCAAAGCCAGGAGCACTTCGAACGTCCGCGGCTGGCAAATCCGTTGCTGTTTGTTGCACTCTGCAATCTCTTTAACACGTGCGCACGAGGCCACAGCAAGAGCCGTTTTGATAGTGGATTTAGTCCAGAAGGTTGTTTTACACGGACCGCTCACCGCCACGGCCCACTCGGGCCCACTCCGGCCATAAAAAAGTCATTTATTTAAGAGCGCTGACACACGCGCACGAGAAACACATTCATTGTTTTGTATATTTTTCGAAAACAACGTTCGGCTGGCCGGCTGTCTGGCCGCCTGGTCGGCAGAATGGCAGACTGGCCAGCAGCCTAACTAACGCCGCTGAATTTTGTCCGAAATTTATCTGTCTCTTGAGTGTTCCCTCACACCGACAAGAAACAACACGTTCACTAAACAGCGTAGCTCACGTGATCGCGCCGGCAGCTGATATGGGCCGTTAATATTTGTGCAATTTCTCTCTTATTTGTCCGCGCAAAGATCTCGCTGGGTCTTGACTTTGTCTCATGTGAAGTCACCCCGGGGTCTAGACTCGAACCTGGCGTCCGCATCTCCAGCGGCACCACCAGGTTGGCTCTGCGAGGATGTGAGGACAGTTGCGCTCAAAACTGCAGGTCGGAGCAGATACCATGTTACCAGCTGCAAAGTGCAATCAGCTGGTATACACGGGGTGCATCAGCTGGTAAACACGTGGTGCATCAGCTGATACACACGTGGTGCATCAGCTGGTATACACGTGGTGCATCAGTTGGTATACACGTGGTGCATCAGCTGATACACACGTGGTGCATCAGCTGGTAAACACGTGGTGCATCAGCTGGTATACACGGGGTGTATCAGCTGGTATACACGTGGTGCATCAGCTGGTATACACGTGGTACATCAGCTGGTATACACGTGGTACATCAGCTGGTATACACGTGGTGCATCAGCTGGTATACACGTGGTGCATCAGCTGGTATACACGGGGTGCATCAGCTGGTATACACGTGGTGCATCAGCTGGTATACACGTGGTGCATCAGCTGGTACACACGTGGTGCATCAGCTGGTATACACGTGGTGCATCAGCTGGTATACACGTGGTGCATCAGCTGGTATACACGTGGTGCATCAGCTGGTATACACGGGGTGCATCAGCTGGTAAACACGTGGTGCATCAGCTGGTATACACGTGGTGCATCAGCTGGTATACACGTGGTGCATCAGCTGGTAAACACGTGGTGCATCAGCTGGTATACACGGGGTGCATAAGCTGGTACACACGGGGTGCATCAGCTGGTATACACGGGGTGCATCAGCTGGTAAACACGTGGTGCATCAGCTGATACACACGTGGTGCATCAGCTGGTATACACGTGGTGCATCAGCTGGTATACACGTGGTGCATCAGCTGATACACACGTGGTGCATCAGCTGGTAAACACGTGGTGCATCAGCTGGTATACACGGGGTGTATCAGCTGGTATACACGTGGTGCATCAGCTGGTATACACGTGGTACATCAGCTGGTATACACGTGGTACATCAGCTGGTATACACGTGGTGCATCAGCTGGTATACACGTGGTGCATCAGCTGGTATACACGGGGTGCATCAGCTGGTATACACGTGGTGCATCAGCTGGTATACACGTGGTGCATCAGCTGGTACACACGTGGTGCATCAGCTGGTATACACGTGGTGCATCAGCTGGTATACACGTGGTGCATCAGCTGGTATACACGTGGTGCATCAGCTGGTATACACGGGGTGCATCAGCTGGTAAACACGTGGTGCATCAGCTGGTATACACGTGGTGCATCAGCTGGTATACACGTGGTGCATCAGCTGGTAAACACGTGGTGCATCAGCTGGTATACACGGGGTGCATAAGCTGGTACACACGGGGTGCATCAGCTGGTATACACGTGGTGCATCAGCTGGTAAACACGTGGTGCATCAGCTGGTATACACGTGGTGCATCAGCTGGTATACACGGGGTGCGTCAGCTGGTAAACACGTGGTGCATCAGCTGGTAAACACGTGGTGCATCAGCTGGTAAACACGTGGTGCATCAGCTGGTATACACGTGGTGCATCAGCTGGTATACACGGGGTGCATCAGTTGGTATACACGTGGTGCATCAGCTGGTATACACGTGGTGCATCAGCTGGTATACACGTGGTGCATCAGCTGGTATACACGTGGTGCATCAGCTGGTAAACACGGGGTGCATCAGCTGGTAAACACGTGGTGCATCAGCTGGTAAACACGTGGTGCATCAGCTGGTATACACGGGGTGCATCAGCTGGTATACACGGTGTGCATCAGCTGGTATACACGGGGTGCGTCAGCTGGTAAACACGTGGTGCATCAGCTGGTAAACGCGTGGTGCATCAGCTGGTATATGTGGTGCATCAGCTGGTATACACGGGGTGCATCAGCTGGTATACAACGGGGTGGATCACACGATGTGGATTAGCTCGCACAATTATTAATATTACTTGCGTCCGGCCTGTATGCACATTTCTGTCCAATACGTTTATCATCGTCTATATTCTATAGAAAGTGTTTTAATCGGTCACTCTTATATTTTCTTTCCAGTTCCACCCATTAGCCGTATATATTATTGTCAATTTGGTTACGGTTCCTATCATCCGAGCCTTTTTTCGTGGATGAGAAGAGGTTATTTTGAAGTTGGGGGAAATGTATCCTCATATCTGTGTTTATCCACGCTTTACGGATACACAGACTCATTTGGGTGCATGGTGGCGAGATGTTAACTTTCTCGCCTGGTATACAGGAAGTCGTGGGTTCGATGCTGACTCTGACTCCTGTATATTTGGAGTTTGCGTGTCTCTCTTCCCGTAGTCACGTAGATTTTACTCCAGGTCCTCCTGTTTTCCCCTCCACATTTAGAATCAACAACGCGCGTTTCGAGTATTTGGCTGCTATAAATGTCCACATGCTAAGCCACTTCGTTGAGCTATCATTTGTGGCGAGGTCGCCTCTGAAAAATTGCTATGTAGTTCAGTGGGCCTTACCTGGTAAAAAATATTTGTAAAGTTCATAGTTTAGTTGTAATTTGTGTGGATAAATTAGATCATAGGATTCACCCCAAACCCACCCACACCAATCTCATGAAATCGGTGATCTTCCACTGAATTCAACTCTACCGTATCTAATTCAGCCGCCTGCCGACTCTAACCCTTCTACAAATAAACACTTTCACCCTCAGTTGGAGAGCGTTGACAAAATATCTGGCTAATAGATCTGGCCTTCGCGCACAGCTGTTCCGCCCGATACCTGCTTAATGAGACGAGTAATCAACACTCAGTGACAGCATGAACAAAACATCCCCAACTACTTACGACGAAAACCATATCACTGGTCAACACACTTTTTCTGGCATAAGGTATTGCAACAGTTTTAAGGTAATTTTGGGGTGCTGATTCCAAATCTGGCATCAGTTTTTGTCTATCACATTCAAGGTTTTTGAGATATCAAATATTGCTTTTTCAATAAAAACTGCAGAAGAAAAATATTCAATAAATGTGGATATCTACATAAAATGATATTATAAACACACTATCCTAAAAATACAGCACTATATTTTAACACTAAAGCAGTCACTGACTCGTAACAACTTGCAATCATAAGTGACAGAGTTAATTTCGGGTAAAAGCAATGAAAATGGGGTATGCCGATAGCATAAAATGAGATGTGATAGAGCAAATCTGAGATCAGATTTGGAATCAGCACCCTGAAATTAGTCTAAAACAGCTGCAAAAGTCCAGGCCAGAAAAAAATGTTTTTTTTTGTTGACCAGTGTATATTTTTTATTTTACCACGTTAGGCTCATAGAGCTATGCAGTTATTTTTTTAGAAGCGACCTGGCCACGACCGATAGCTCAATGAAGTGGCCTGTCAGCGCGTGGAAATTCATAGCAGCCAAATTCTCTCAACGCGCACGCTTCTAAATTCAGAGGGAAAACCGCGGAGGTTTCGGAG